GCCAACCCAGTATCGTTCGCTTCAAACGCCATCACTTTATCCACTTATCTACTGAGTCCTGATAGCCACCTACTTGTGCAATGGGGTGAAGTTTTAAATTCACGTGATATTGTTTACTTGTATCTTCCCATTTTTATTTATGACTGCAATTGATCAGTCTCTCATTGGTATAATTGCATCGTGTGAGGACTGCCTCGATATTACTCCAAGTCACAGGCTTTATAAACAAGATGGTCCAAAATAACAATAGTAAGATTGAAGTAAACAACACTATGTGAATTTGATAAATCCAGGTAAACTTTGTAAAATTTAGTTTATTTCATAATTTTCAACATCAAATAAATGATATTTTAATAGCTTTTTATTGAAACAAAGGCTTAGATCAGTCACTGTCAGGACGTATTGCTCAGTAAAGGTCATTATCACGGAAAGAACAAGGTTCATGTTTTATTGAAAACCTAAGAGATATGAAAACAATTGCATCGCATCCTACTGTGCTGATGAGTTTAAATGTGTATGTGATCAAGCATACATAGGGAGGAGTAATCGTGATCTCAAAATTAGGGTGTGTGAACATCTAACTAAATGCTTGCAGAAACAAATAAAATCAAATGACCCAATAAGAGTAGAGGATAAACATCCATCGTCCTCTATTGCCAAACACACAATTGAAACAGGTTGTAAGATTGAGCTTAACTCGGCTTTTGGGGTATTGTAAAAGGTCGTATATAGGTTTATTGAAGCCTTAGCCATACGAAAATTCAAATCCCCTCGGTATTAAAAACCCTTTTTTCACACCTTAAATGTGCCCTGGTAATATTAGACTTATCAGCCAGAGTGATAAGGTTTCAAATTGTCTTCATATGATTTCTTTATTATCATTGTCTCCTCTTACCCTGGAGGGTAAGTCTAGTCAAGTTAATCTTTCATTTTTATATATAAATGTTCTTAACAAGTATATGTGTGATCACACTGTTCTGCTTGAATACAGTTGATACTCTTTGAGTTCAAAATATTTATTTATGCCTTTATTTTAAACTAGTTATTTGTTGATTCACTAAAGTGGTGAAATGAACTAAGTGAACTGATAGAAATTCTAATTTCTAATCATTGAAATACTACAAAACTACCATTACTTTGCTAACTGCAGTCTATCCAATACTTCATTTATCTTAATTTAGGAAGTAAAACCTTGACAGTCATACAAACTTATTCTTTACAGCATATTTTGAATTAGACTAATTGAATCAAACTGTTGTCAAGCCTTTACTGTAGCCATTTGTAGTTTGGATGAAGAATGCAAACATTTAAACGTGAAACAGATGATTTAGTTTCTTGTAATCCAGCAAGAATAGATCATTGCAAAAGTATTATACCATTATATATATATATATATATATATATATATATATATATATATATATATATATATATATATATATATATATATATACGATGATAAACATATTTTGGCAAACTATTTTAACCATTTATATGGATAATATTTTATTGTATTGATCTTCACTTCCCAAAACTCAATGGCAGTTATCAATTACTATCAATAATCGACAAATTCTAAAAACTTTCTTAAAGCATCAAGTTTACACCTTTTAACTGCACTGTATAAATTCATGTTATTGGATTCCTATTAAAACGTGTAAATGTTGTGTAACTAAAAACACTTTGAATTTTTTTATTGCATTATTTTTTCCACTGATCAATAATTATTTACCAACAGCTAAAAGTATGGAATTTTGAAATACAATCAAAATGACAGCAACATTTATCACAATTGATTGATCACTGGTTGGTGATCAATGTCATGTGTGTCAAGTCCTTATTTAGTGCAGATCGAATGCTATCGACCATGTTACAATGTGATCGACTACCTCCAACCACCATCTAATCTCAATATATAGTGCTTGCAATGTCGAGTTACCTAGACTGGTGACCACATTGCAATATATATATATATATATATATATATATATATATATATATATATATATATATAAACCTTGAAAAAGTTCTGTAATTTGGTAGTTGTTTTACTGATAATCATTCATTATTATTGTACATTACAGCAAAATTAAGATAAAATGACATCAATGCTAATTGCTTCCTGAATTTGACGTTCCCTAAGTCAAAATTTGTTATGAATGAAATATTTTCCTCATGACTCAATATGATTAACAGTTTTATTCTATTTTTTTTAAAAATCATTTACAAGCAAGAGTAATATCCTAAGTTTATGCATGGTTAACTTAGAGCATGAATGAGAAATATATGGAAGTGTGACAGTTAATTTATGAAGTAATTATAAGTAAAAAATATTCATTATCAGTGGATGAAAATGTCAGTAACCATACTAAATATAAATCAAACTTTACTCAGTATCATATGAAGTTATAAAAATAGAATTGACATAATCATTTAGATTTTCTCGTTGATATATTAAAGACCAAATTTGGTCAGTTTCCTTTTACATATGTCCCTACTGAGTTATATTCCCATATAATTACAAGTTATTTAGTGAAGCTATACATTTATCAATGGGAGGATCAGAACAATCATCTCATCTTACTTAGGGCTCATTAGGTGGATGTAATGGCATCCATGTTCATGTTTACACCAGGACTCCAATTCGGCACTTTACGCTTCGAACTCAAATTGTGTTATTCATTGAGCTACTAAATCCAGACAGCTACTAACTTATGCAGTAGGGATTAATTTAATTTGTATGTGTTTATGTATTCCTAATGAAATACTTAGGAGTGTAACTGATTCAACTTGACCATAAATTTCATAGCTATTGTTCAAAGTGTATTACAATCTTGTTTGCTAGTTCTGGCTTCTAGACTTTCATGATAAGAAATGTGAAAACGTTTACTTTTGAAACGTTTAGACAACATTTAAAAGTTCTTCATCGTTGCTAATTTGTGTAAGGGATAACATTTCAAAGACATTGTACATGAAAAATCAAGAATTTATTAAAAAATTCCATTGTTTCGTTGTCGCAGTTAACATTTATATTCATTTGCTTGTCAACAAAACATTTTGTCTAATTTAGGTGTCAATGTTCGGCAGTAATTAATAACTTTTCGCTGAATTTTTCACTACTCTTGAATAATTAGTTTATAATAGCATTAGAGATACTGTTCAATAAATATTATTTCTTTTTAAAGAAAGATAGATTAGTTAAGGCAGTTATTCATCATTATTGAACATTACGATATCTAAGAAAATCTTTGTATCAGTTTACTGGAAAAATAAGACCGAAATATAACGTAATATATAATTGGAGAACTGACGAACTACTTTGTCGGTTCTCAAGTATATTCTAGATATTTACTGGTCGCAGAGGCTTAATAAAATATCGTGTCAATAAATGGTTTAGAATTTGAGAACTAATATATCACTTCACTCCATTAACCAAAAACTTAGATCTTTCCAGAAAACATATGAGATTTCATCATTGTGATCAAACATCTTAGCAGCTAATATACATACTAAGCACTTATTTATAAATAGTCTTCTACACTGTCATATCAGTGATTTGAATAAGAAATCAATACTGACTCTCGGCAAACCTAAATATTCCATAAATTGTCTCACTATGAAAGAACACAAACTAGATGCTGTGTAAGCTTACCACTATGTTCTATGTGAATTAAATTTTCAACTGTAAACTGCAAAACAATATAGCACATTTATACTAATCATAAGTATTTTGAAGTACTTTGGTATCTGCTAGAGCATCTTTTCAGTGAGTTTTTTCAATTTTCCGGATATTTATTTAAGTTTGCTACAAATTAAAACGACACATTTCTTAACCAAAGTATTCTGCAATAAACTAGGGCTTTAATTTATCAGCTAAGAGAACGAAAAAGTAATCAATATAATATTCTGTATTTAAATGTTCTACTGGTTGGACTAGTCAGCGTAGAGTATTTAGTGGAACATATGCTACTTGTTAGTAAATCGAAGTCTTTTTAAATAAATAATACTGACTTATAATGTATTAAAATCCGTATTTTCATTGTACCTTTGTTTCTATTTTCATGATCGGTACCAGTAATGATTCTGGGCATATCAAGGTTTAACGAAAGGATCACTTAATTTCATCGATATTTTCGAATTAAAAAGGCGTTTGAGAAAATATCGATGTACATAGATGAAGACCAAAACTATTACCAGAATTAATTAGAGACAGCTATTTTTACTTGAGAAATCGATTACATGTACCTGTAAGCAGTATTATATAATCTATAGCAACTCTTCCACAGTCATTTCTGATTATGGTTAATATTTTTTAAGCTCTTTTATTTACTTACATAACGGACAATGTTATTTGGGCAGTAACAATTCGTCTATTTTTTGTCCTATTATGATCGCTATCTATGATAGCCTACGCACATCTCTCTCTAGAGTAAATGTTGCTAGCTTAAATATCGCTCGATGGTTCATTCTCTTCCCCATGTATATATATACTCAAATTCTATTATTAGCTTCTGCTTCGCCTTACTATGCCCTTATTTGATTTGACCGTAAATTCGCTTCTGTATTTGCTCAAATGTATATATTCGCCTCTCTGCTTCAAATTCGCTTGATATGCTTGTAACTTTGCGATTCATGCTCTCCTCTGATAAACTGTGGTTGCCGCTTCTTATTACCTTTTGATTTGAAACACCATTTGGGATTTATATAATAACGGTTATCAAGGTGATTGACTGACGAATCTAAGCCACTACAAACCTATATTTTCATTTTCTTGGTTTAATTCATATTTTGTAAATAATCACTTACTTGGTTTAAGTATTTTAAATCATCTTTAAAGTTGACATTTTTACAAATATATTTTCTCGTGAATTTCTTTTATGCCTCTTTAAGAAATTTTAACCGTCGTTTCTCTTTATTTTCCTCAGGTAATGTATGAAGATGAAAATTAAGCTCAAACAGTTAGAACAATCGCATTTACTTTATGTATAATGTATGTGAAGATGAATCTATTGTTTTGTTTGCTTCAAAATATTTTATCTTGTATTATATTTCTTCACTATGAGTTTTATACCGTAAAAAGTGAGAACAGAATAGCAGTTCGAAACAATGGGGTGAAATTTTCACAATTCAAATCATTTTTTGATGTATCGCCGGATTATCTCAAATGGTCGGAGAATCAACGTGCACAACTAGAATCAATTACAAATAATCTAGCATCAAACAAAACGCCTCACATCATGGAACCTTTAATTAATCCATTAAAGCAATCTTCAATAACTCATAGTGATTTTATACATAGTGCAAATAAACGAACATCGAAACAAGCACCTGGTGAGGATAAAAATACTATTAACTCTGATATCGAAATATCAAACTCTAGTTCTGTGATCGATGAATCTAATGAGGGTAATATTACGGCATCTACTGTAGTCTACTCAGGAACGACGTCAGTTATACTAGCATTACTAACAGCCATAGTTAGTTTTATCACAATTGTTGGAAATATACTAGTTCTTATTTCTTTTTTTGTGGAGAGAGCATTACGAACAGCATCAAATTACTTCATAGCTTCATTAGCTGTTACAGATGTACTGATTGGATTTTTTTCAATGAATTTTTATACTTTATACCTTCTTCTTGGACGGTGGCCTTTAGGAAGACTTTCGTGTGATTTGTGGCTAAGTTTAGATTACACAGCCTGTTTAACCTCCCAATACACAGTACTAATCATCACTATTGACAGATTTTGTTCAGTTCGTATACCTGCAAAATACAGAAACTGGAGAACTGAAAGAAAGATTCTTATACTAGTTGCTGTTACGTGGATTATACCATCATCTGTATTTTTTACCACAATAATGGGTTGGCCTTACTTTCACACTGATGGTAATCCTAGACCAGATGATGAATGCTATGCAGAATTTGCAACAGATCCGATATTTAATACTGTTTTTACCGTGTGCTATTTTTGGGTTACTTTGTGTGTGATGTTAGTTTTATATGTTGGTATCTACCGTGTAGCTGCTGATTTACAAAAGCGTAGTGACGAAAAACGAAATCGTGTTTCCGGCCTTATTACCAACAGTACACAAAATAATAAAACAACCACGCATATGATGTTGAACAATCAAAGAGCTTCATCTCACGGTATGAACCAAAAAATTACAAATAATAACAACTATCCGTATAATAGTAGCATTGGTGGTTTAGGAGATTCGTCTGGTTTCGATTCAGACGAAGGTAAATCAGACCCTGTAAAACAAAATCCTTTATCGAAAACAAACAAACTTGGGGAAAAGCAGAATAGACAAATCACCAAAATATCAGCTGGACCACAAACCGAGAAAGCTTTTGTTGCATTACCGAGGATTGAAGCTAGATGTGACATTGCGCCAAGTGTGCTAGGAGCGACTGGTATTATTCCTACGAAACCAAAAATTTGTGATTTATCTAAAGCTAATCCTAATGGATTAAATGAAGTTCCAGAAACTGATCTAGGTTATATTTGTCCAACATCCGTTATGGTAAGTAAAAGTCTTGGTCTTGTAATCAGTTCACCAGTTTTGACAGACGACGATAGTGGACTTGAAGTAAATGACTGCCATTCAGTTTTGCCGAAGAAAGTGCAAGAGTTACCTATACCACTATCATATGATTGTTTAAATGAAAAAGAATCAAGCCCAGTATCAGAAAAGGAGGATCGATCAGCCAACTATAAAACAGAAAACAAAAAGAAAGAAAAAGTGAGGCACCCATTGACCCAGATTATCAGAAACGTGTTATGGAACAATTCAAACAAAGAATGTCAGCTTTAGCTAATCAAAAAACAACACCCCGAGTTACAGACCACACAAAAGTAAATAATCAACCATCTAATCAAAGTTTGTTAAAATGTAAGCAAACTAACAATCACTCTCGATTAACACTGAATACTTCAAATTTTTCTGAGTCAACGTCATCAAAAGGTACTGAAAATACTACAAATAACACTCACAATTATGATGCTCACACAACAGTTTATCCTGCAAATTCAAAATCACAATTTTGCAGAAGCAACATTGACTGTTGTAACTCTTCAGAGTTAGAAACTAACTTGCAAACACCATTGTATGTAAATAACTCATCTCCTATCTGGAAATCTCGCCCTTTGTGTTGTGATGGAATAGTCAGTGCACCATGTTCAGTTAGAAGTTACCAATATACAAATAGACGAATTGAGGAATGTATGAGCCAGCAAGAATGTATAATATGTATGCGTCAACAGCAACAACAGGATTCTGATACATTACAATCAAGTTCCAGTTTCGGAGATTTCGGTGGTCCAATTGTATGTGATGAAAAATGTCTATGTCATTCTCAAGCTTTTGATCATCGGAAAACATCGTTAAATATTTCTTTCAGATCACGTTTATTATTTTATTTACAATCAATTAAATTAAAAATACATAATGAAAATATTGTGGAGCATGTGAAAAAATCATTTATCCGTAGAAAATCAAAGCATAAAAATATTGAACGTGGTCGACGTGAAAATCGTGCACGTAAAGCATTAAGAACAATCACATTTATAATGGGTGCTTTTGTTATATGTTGGACACCATATCATATAGTGATAATGATTAAAGGTATATGCGATGATATTCAAAAAAAATATACCTGTGTAAATGATATATTCTATAGTGTAACTTATTGGTTATGTTATATGAATTCACCAATTAATCCATTCTGTTATGCATTAGCAAATGCACAATTTAAAAAAACATTTCTACGTATATTTCGTGGTGATTTTAGAAGATTATAAATTTCTTTTCCCCCTTTTTTTGTTGTTGACTATAATAATGAAAAAAGTACATATATATATATATATATATATATATATATATATATATATATATATAAGGTAAAATACTACTCATTTCTATTCCTCTGATAATGCCTCTACTTTCTTTGTTTATATAAACATATATTATGAATATGATACTATGCTTATCATCTTTAAAAGTTCAATCTTCTTTTTCTTTCGCTTTTTTTTATATAAACCATTTAAACAGCTAATTTGTTACTATCATAAATCATTATTCATTTATTAAGATACTTAGAAATAATTAATATTCAAATGTATAGTAAAATCTTTTACTTTAAATATTTATAACCCTCTATTTTGTTTTTATAATCCCAGTGCTGTATTATTATTATTATTGACCGATATTTTGAGTATATAAAAAGTAAATTGATTTGTTAACTGTTTTGTTGTTACCAAAGAAACATTAGCTATTAGTTGAATTGATAATGGATTAAAAAAATAGTTAAAACTATGTACAAATTATTCGAATTTCTTTTTTTTTTTAATGTAAAGTTTTGACTAATTATTTCTTGGAATAAATTACTTTGTGAAGGATGACGTTGTTGTTGTTGTGTTTTTTTGGTGGGGGGGGAGACGTTTGTTTGTTTGTTCCGTATTTCATTTTTTTAGCTGCATAATTTTGTTGTAACAATTGGGACTTATGTAAATGAACTAAAACTTTATTTATTTTAACTTAGATTTTAAATTTTCGTTTAAAATGAAAATTTAATCTTATATTACATTGATTAACTCATTATAGTAACCGAATGATATCATAGTTAATAGTTATTTTCAATAAGTTCATCATTATGTCCTACAGTTGTAAATCCATCATTATTGTATTATAATGTTTAAATAATTCAATTCAATTGAATTACACCTGTTACCCCTCATGAAGGAGCATAGGTCGCCAACAAGCACTCTCTATGCTTCACACATAGTTCCCTTTATTATTTTAAAGAGATCAAGAACAAAGATTGGTGGAGAATAATATGAATTCATTTTGTTTCGTTAGGTTCTGGTTCTCATCAGCTGTTTACAACCTAAAATATTTGAAAATCAGAGTTATTACAGATGTTGACATACTTATACATAAGAGGGTGATTAAGGATGCATATATGTATCATGATGTAGCGAAGATTTCAATATAGTTAATAAGGTCATAAAATTTTGTTTCACCTTGAAGGAATTCAAGGTGATTAACAAACAATCAAACTCCAACCTTGTGAAATTTGCCAAAGCGATAGCAATCAAACGCCTAAAACCAGATCTATGTATACAAAAAGAGACAGTAATAAATCTTTCTTTACCCTGGTAACATTAACCCCATTTTTATTTAATACGTCATTTATTATTCCAACTCTTTCTGAATTTTAAAATTACATCATTCATAACTGACTGATTTTAATTCATATCTTTCTTTATTACCATTAATCTATTTTCAGTTACTTGATTACATAATCATGTATGTTTAATTCCATGGGTTCTAATCACTATCTCAATGTTCTGGAACCTTCCCTCCCAAAATTTATTTATTCGAAACAAACAATTTTTATGACCTTATTAACTATATTGAAATCTTCGCTACATCATGATACATATATGCATCCTTAATCACCCTCTTATGTATAAGTATGTCAATATCTGTAATAACTCTGATTTTCAAATATTTTAGGTTGTAAGCAGCTGATGAGAACCTAACGAAATAAAGTGAATTCATATTATTCCGCACCAATATTTGTTCTTGCACTCTCTCTTCTACCATGTCCAGGGCAATCCTTTCAAGTTGCTTTTCTTCCTTTTTATGCCTGCTTCCAATTCTTCACTCAGTGTGTTCTTCGGTCATCCTCTTTTCTGTTTCCCTTCAGGATTCAAAGTTAGTGCTTGATTCGTGGTACAGTTTGGTGATGTCCGTAATATACATCCTAACCACTTTCAACGTCTTCCCCTAATTTCCTCTTTAGCTCGAAGCTGGTATGTTATCTCCCACAATAGGCTGTTGTTGATAGTATCCGGCTAACGGATATTGAGTACCTTGCGTAACCAACTGTCTATAAATACTTGTATCTTCTTGATGATAGTTGTGGTAATTCTCCACGTTTCAGCTCTGTACAGTAGGACTGTCATGACGTTCGTATTGAAGATTCTGACTTTGATATTGGTTGACGGTTGTTTTTAGTCCCATGTGTTCTTCAATTGTAGGAATGTGGCGCTTGCTTTGCCGATCCTCGCATTTACGTCTGCATCCAATCCTCCTTGTTCATCGATGATGCCGTCCAGGTACGTGAAACCTTCCTCCTCTTCCAGAGCTTCTCCATCAAGTGTGATTGGATTAGTGTTCTCTGTGTTGTATTTTAGGATCTTGCTTTTTTCCTTGTGTATGATGAGGCCTACTGATGCAGAGGCTGACGCTATACTGTTTGTTTTGACTTGCATTTATTCATATGTATGGGATAGAAGGGTTAGGTCATCTTAATAATACATACATTAATAAATGAATACAAGTCAATGCTATTTAAGTTACAACAGAGAACATTTTCATTGTTCATGGCTTAAATTTGACCACAATGTTTCATTTGAACGTAAGAAAGTTTATTTTAAAAAGGGCTAAAAATGTAATAATAAAGTATTGATACCAAAAGTATGGTAATAACAGACACATTACTTTTGATATTCGAAATTAAAAGTAATACTATTCAAATAGGTTTATAATTTGTACAGGCACCTTTTTTGATTATACAAAGAAATTTTGAATTTTTGTATAATTCGAACTTCGGAAAATCAATGTATGTTTCCATGAACACTTTTATGTACTTGATATTGTTTTATTTGAATCTTCCCATTGATGTTTTAGGACTGAAATTGGTCAGTCTCTTATTGGCATATGTGCATACTGTGCGTATGCCTCGATATTGCCTTAATTTACAAGCAATTATAAGCAAAGATGGAGAGTGGCTAGCAGTGGAATCCAGGACGCGCGTTTCGTCCTGTTTGAAACTCGTCAGCTGGATGTACCTGCATCTCAGAGTTGATGTTCACTCTGGGACTCGAACTCAGTACCGTTCGCTTCAACGTCAGTCCTAAAACATCAATGGGAAGATTCAAATAAAAACAATATCAAGTGAATTAAACTTCAACCCATTGCACAAGCAAGTGGCTATCCGGACTCAGTAGCTAAGTGGATAACGCGATGGCGTTTGAAGCGAACGGTACTGAGTTCGAGTCCCGGAGTGAACACCAACTCTGAGATGCAGGTACATCCAGCTGACGAGTTTCAAACAGGACGAAACGCGCGTCCTGGATTCAGCTGCTAGCCACTATCCATCTTTACTTTTATGTACTGCTTAAAAGGTAGACTTCAAGGTAATTCTTTGACTTGTTCCTAGAACATGACGTTTAAAGTATCTATTTCTATCAGTTAAGTTACATATTTGACTCCATTTACCTGCGAATCACAATTATTTCTCTCTTTCTAAATACCCACAGAAATCATCGTTAAATCTGAATTGCGAGTCGAAAATGTAGTAGCGATTCTTTTAGATAATGTTCGAAATGACTTTGTTGTTATTTTTATCATCCCCACATTAAAACAAATAAACTCTGTGAGAGGAGTATGAAGAATGAAGTAATATTTACTGATATCATCCTTTTTCCGGATACACGAATGCCGGTCACTAAATCCACGAACCTAAGGGAAAAGAAATTTCGGTATCTACTGATGTGACTTTGAGCTGATTAGAGGATTGCCACCGACCATTCGCCAGGTAAGTGACATAAACTGTCATTTATATTTGTTATAAGGCGAAAATAAACATCCTTCTGATGGGGTCTCGACTGTATTCATCTCTAGTCGATTTCTCCACGGTTAATTTCGTAATGAAAGATGAAAGCTGACAGACTATTTTTTCGTAGGAAGCATAGCAATGACGCATTTGCAATATATGATGAAAACACCAATATCCAAATTATGTTACGTTGTTCAATAGTTATAGGTAATCACTTAAGCTTATAATCAATAAAGAATACGAATCGAATTACCATTCCGTTCTTTAAAGGTCAATTTACGAAATTGTCCACATTCTAGAAGCTTTATCCATACACATCTTAAAACCGTAACTGCGTTTACAGAAATAGTTGTTAAATTTCTCTCATTTACATAGTTCACAGTTTTTGTTGGGATAAATTTTTTCTAGTTTTTCTTTACTATGCATGATTATTATCTATGTAATTAGTTATCATTCCCAGTTACAATTTTCATTAAATTCTCTTTACTTTAACATTTTGATTTATGACGTTCACATTTACTTTATCCTACTAATTATATATTTCTTACGTTTGATAAATTCCCTTTCACGTAACTATTTACTTTGAACTATATAGTTAACTTTTAATTACAACTGTTATTATTCTAACAGATGTACAGTTTTATAATCTATAATTTGTGACATATGTATACAATTGTACAGTTATGAAAATGAATTTGTTGATAAGGATTTCTTCTTTCAATTAGTTGCTTTATGAGATATTGGGTATATTCAAGTTAGTTATAATGTTATTACTTTAGTATTATTCATTAATCGGCATGTTATTTAGAAAAAAGAGCTGTTAGAAAGCAACCAAGTTTTATAATCTACCAGTTTTAAAATAACTTGTCACAATGTGGTAAGAAGATGTAGTTAACCTAGAAAAATGTGGTTTATTCAGGTTATTTGTATGGAAAAATCTGGTCACACATATACTTATCATGGGATTTATACATGAAAATTAACAAAAGACAATTAAAATAAGCGCCAAATAAATATAGATTAACAAACAAGGGAGAAAATAAATGATATGAAAGATGTAAAATGTTATCACATTACTTTAGTTTTTAGGATGGAATGAAGAGTACCACATTATATCCAAGTTTAGAACAAATTAGTTTTGTATACGTAAAAAAGGCGTTCAGCTTTTTTAAT